TTAATATTATATGATTTATTTTTTTGTTATTAAAACAATTTACCTTTTATCTTATTGGGATTACCTGTAATCTATATAATTATGTTTATTTTTAAAATAATTTTTCTCTCATATTTTTATTTACTTATTTATTTTTTTCTTTTTTGCCCAAGCTGGTCTTGAACTCCTGGACTCAAGTAATCCTCCTGCCTCTGCCTCCCAAGTAGCCAGGATTATAGGCATGCACTATCACACCCAGAAAATATGTAGATTAACTCTAAAAACAGATTAACAAGAAGTATTCAGACATGTACTCTTGGTTTCACTGTTCATTGTGCTGATTTTATTCCCAGACTTTTCCCTTAAATTCACAAATGAGCAACAGACTGACTATTTCATCTTACTTACTCAGAATCTACCAGCCTCTAGAGATTTCTCCACTACCTTCTGGCATTTAGTTTCAACTTCTTCAGGAGAAGTTTGATGTTCATCTGATTTGTGTGTATTTTTCTCACTGGATGTTAGTATGATTTTTTTATAATTTAAAAATACTAAGGGAGCACAAATATTTTTGTTACATGGATACAATACATAATTCTAGGTCAGGGCTTTCAGTGTGCCTGCCACCAGGACAGTGTTGATTGTACTGGACAGGTTAAGTTTTTATCCCTCCTCCCCGCTTCTTAGTTTCCAGTGTTCTTTATGTCTTTAATTATTGTTTGACATTCAGAAATTTCACTAGCATGTCTAAATGTGGGTCTTTTTCTCCCTCATATTGGGTGTGAACTTTTTTGATAATTTCCTTTTATCATTTTGCTTGGGATTGCTTTTTCTTTCTCTTCTGTATTCACACTGTCTATGAAGCAAGAGTTAGAATTTTCTCAAGTTTCCTATGTTCTATAGTGACTTTATTTCATTTGGGGACATCTATGATTCCTTTTTTGATCTATTAATTCTTTGTATATGCCTGTAATTTTTTCTTTTTTATTGGTTTATTTATAAAAATGGAGGCTTAAGTGAATCTAGCAAGCACTGGGAGCTGAAGTGGTATCTGCCAAGGATTGTTTAGGTCTATGATCAACTCATTCATGGAAAAGTTGAGATACGATCAAGTTTTGGTTTGTATGTGAAGAACAGGGACACAGTTATAATTACAGAGACTGAAAAGTAGAAATGTTTTGCTCCACTGGAAATTGTTACCTAGGCCATTAAAAGACCCTTCCTGTTGACCAAAATTCTTATAAAAATAAGATTCTATCGGTAATGGTAATGTAAAGGTCCCATATAAGCATCCCTAAACCAGGGAAGGTAGTGCTGGGTAGTGGAGGTGTTGAGATGGGTGAGAGAAGAGTTTAATGTTGAGACATTGTAGCTTATTTTAGGACTGATTCCTATCTAAAAGATTATGGGCTAAAAATAAATAAAAGTTTAGAAAAACACTAAAGTAATTTAAAAATTGAGTCAAATCTACCTGCATATTTGAATCTATCTCAGTACAATAATTACTGTCCTTAGGGTATAGACTTTTTCTTTAATATCTGTGATTAGAGAGAGAACTATTTTAATGTTATATAACTAAATGCCAATTAGCTCATTTTTTATTATATTACTTACTTGAGTTTATTGGACTTCAACTTCGACTATAGTTGAACTTCGGTACGAGCGTCAACTATAGTCGATACCCACAGATGAACGCGCACAGTGTTGACTATGCACAGCACAAAATACTGTGCGAACTATGACTGCCGGCTGTGGGCAAGGTTTCGTGCCTGGTGAACGCTATACCGAATTGGTTATAATCGTTTTATTGTTTTTATTATTATTTTTATCAAGGCATTAATCAGAAGGCTATATAAGAAATCAAGATCACACTTGTTATTGAACATCTCAGTCCTCTTCCAATCTATTCCCAATCTGCTGAGGAAATCCAACATTAATAGCCTGGTATGTATTTTTTATCTCATTTATCATTCTTCAAAAATACATACACACAAGCTTATATAGAGATTCATTTAGTTTTTTTTTTTTTTTTACTGAAAGAGAATCATTCTACAGACATTCATAAATTTTCAAAAGGAACTGTGTGTACCTTTAAGATGGAATGCCTAATTTACTAGTAAACAATTGAAGAAAAGTGTTGCTTTTTAAGATGAATAACTGCATCTTGAGTTCAACAAGAACATACCCAGAATTGACTAGTACACTGGCACACATAGAGGACCATAAGTAAGTCTTGGAATAGTTTAGCGGTTGATAGTTTTCTTGTTCTTCACTACTGTAGCATTTGAGGGAGATTTTGAGAACCCAATTAGAAAATTGTCTGGGATCTATAAAATTCAGGGGAGTTGACCTTATTCTGTAATATTTAGTAAAGCTTTTAGGCTTACAAGTGGTAAAGACAATCTGACTTCCTTAATTTTACTCTGAATTAATAGCTCGGATAGTCCCAGAATTTGTCTTTATTGGTGATTTAGTAGTAAAATTAAAGTCTGCCTGGACTTTTTTTTTTTTTTTTGAGATAGAGTAGCAACCTGGGGTCAGAATGACTCTGCTTCCAAGTGATACCTCATGAAGAGCTTCTGGAGTGGTGGAAGGACTATTGGCTTCTCCACAAGGAGTCAGTGGAGCCCAGGCTTGATTGGGCTTCAAGGAAATTTTATATGAGGTGGGCAGGCTAGAAACAGACCAGTATCCAGACCTTCATCATGTATTAGAACAAAAACAATAGATACTGGAAAATTTGTGGAAAAGGGCCTTCCCTGAAGTTTTTTATTTTATTTTGAGACAAGGTCTTGCAATGGTGCCCAAGATGATCTCAAACTCCTGACTCAAGCAGTTCTCCTGCCTCAGCCTCCTGAGTAGCATTATAGGTGCATACCACTATTTTAACTGTATTTTTAACTGCTCTGTACTATAGTTTCCTGTTACAACAACAACAACATAGTACTAGGGCATCTTAGGATTTATCATTTTTAAGACTTGGTGAATATTGGAAAATAAGTTTAAACTACTTTGGAATGAAAGAACACCTTCTATCACTATATTTAGTCTTCAAATTCTAATAAGGTGAAGCCACCTAAGAATTATAAATTAAAGCAATACAATAACGTTTTCTCTTTGATTAGTCAAAATTTTGTAGGACTGTTAATACTTAGTATTGATACTTACAGTGCCCATTTCTCTAAACACTGGTGGTAGGTGGATATAAATTTTCTAGAAGAGTAGTTTGCTAATATTTATCCAGTCATAAATGTACATGCCTTTTAATTTCACAATTCCATTTATAAAACTTGATTTACTCAAAAACTCTTAAACAGACACACACAATTAAAAGATGTTTACTGCAGCATCATTTAAAAAAACAGATAACAATCTAAACATAAATTTATCTCCAGAGCCCTAATGTCAAAATTAAAAAAAAAAAAAAATAAAATAAACATAAATTTATTGGTAGAATTATAATCCATAATTGTCATATTTACATTAGAAACACAGATACCAAACACTCACACTCTAATTTGTTTTAATCTGAAATACTTCAATAGAAAGCCATACTAATTTTTTAAGCAAAAGACTATAGGTATACTTTAATATAAATAAATTTAGAAAAATGTCTGTGCTTTTTTATCATGTCCTTCAGAAGTATATATTAAAGGAAAAAGATTTTTACTATTTTTTTAAATAGATAAGTAATGCTTAAAAAAAGAGAGTGAGAGCTAACCCTTTGATAAATGTCCCTTGAACCAATTAGGACTGGCACCTAGGTATGAATATGAAAAATGACTCTGTACTGATTAGCTGTTAATATAAAATAAACATATGTTACTATGTAGTAAGAGATGCAATTAAGAGCTAAAATGACAGACCTTAATGAGACATTCAATAAGAGGAGTAAATTGAATGTAGAAAACTACATATTTTCATAACTACATATTTCCACATCAAAGTGGTCTCTACTTATTTCACTAGCCTTTCTGGTCTCTGAAATTATGACTAGAACTTCATATACATTAACAATAAGATGTAAACAATGTCCAAAATAACATTTTTAATGTGCTGCAATCACTGTTGTTATTTGAATCTAAAGAAAGAGCTAATAAGACAAGCATATTTAAAGTACTGGGTGGCTTGTCCTTCTTTCCTTATACTATCATGCCAGCAAGAACCATCAATAATCAGCATCAAACCAAGCTTCACATAGATGCTCTTATACAACTGCTAAGTGTGCATATATTTTCATTTAGATATTCATTAACACATACACAGATTTTGTAGGGCAGAGGAAGGGCAGAGGAGTTTTTCCAAGTGTCAGAAATTTACTTGGGTGGGGCAATGAGCTAACCGCAAACCTTTGCTTCTGGTCATTGCTTGCTTGCTACGCCGCTGTAGGGGAAATTATCAGATGAGGTCATTAAAGCACGGGCGACTGGCCTATCAGGCAATAGAGGGCAACCAACCCGCCAATTATTTCAAAAGGCAATAGTGGGCAACCAATCATTTTAAAGGTCAACACATGATCCATTTGTAGTCGGCTTGTGCGCAGCTTGTGCACCATGGGGATAAAAGGCATGCCGTTGTTCCGGTCAGGGTCCTTGCCTGCGAGAGTGGCCACTGCGTTGGTGCTCTGAGGCTTGGACCCTGGCTAGCCAAAAAATAAACCTCCTCTTGTGTGATTGCATCCTCGATGTCTCTGCTTTTCTGTCCAGTGGGGCTGTGGAAGGTCAGTCCCTAACAATTTTACATATTGTTTAATACATATCTCTTTAATTTTAAGGTTTACTTGGCAAACACATCAAAGAAAGGGACTGGCATAGACTTAAAGTATTTGTTGATCCTGCCTCCTGATGAACAGTAGGATCCTAACCCTGATATTTAGAGCCCTGCTTTACATGTTCAGTGGCCAAAGAGAATGACTATCATTCTGTATAATGCAGACTGATAATTCTTTTAGGTAGGCTATTAGAAACAAATTGCACAATGCCCCCAAAGCCTGATAAATTAGTTATATGCAGGATACTTACATCAGTATAGTGGCCTTGCATATGACACCGGTCACATTCTTGATTCCAAGAATTTGGGAAAAGACATTTGTGGCCAAATCTGGTAGGCATAGAACAGTTTACGCAAAGGGCAGATGGACAGAAATCCATGGAGTGTCCTATCTTGGAGCATAGGTAGCATGGACGAAGTTTCTATGTGGCAGAAAAACATAAAATCTCTTTAGCAAAAAACTTCAATCTCAAATAGTAGAAGATTGTTATTTCTCTTAGTATATGATCCCATAAAAAGTTATTCCTAATTTAAGACCCCAATCAAAGTCCAATCTTGAGCATAATTCAAACAAAATGTTGAAATTAGAGCTTTAATCTAAGCTATCTGTATAGTGTTGATGCCCTAAAGGCTTAATCTGTACAGGTTGGCATTTATTTTTTATGCCTTGTCTTATAGGAATATTGACAAAATGAAAGGTATTTTTTTTTTTGAGACAGCATCTCACTCTGTTGCCTGGGCTAGAGTGCCATAACATCAGCCTAGCTCACAGCAACCTCAAACTCCTGGGCTCAAGAGATCCTCCTGCCTCAGCCTTCCAAGTAGCTGGGACTACAGCTATGTGCCATGGCTGGCTAATTTTTTCTGTATATTTTTAGTTGGCCAATTAATTTCTTTCCATTTTTAGTAGAGACAGGGGTCTCAGTCTTGCTCAGGCTGGTTTTGAACTCCTGATCTTGAGCGATCTGCCCGCCTTGGCCTCCCAGAGTGCTAGGATTATAGGAGTGAACCACCATGCCCGGACAAAATGAAAGGTATCTTAAAGGGAACATGGAATGATGAGGTTATCTGAAAGGTAAGTTATAGAAGGAATAGATACAGAAGAGGCTGTTTTGCCTAGAGAAGCACAAACAAAAAGGAAACACGAGAGTGGCCCCACATATTTGACAGACAGTCATTTGGATGACTGAATAGGTAATAAAAGGAATGTTTGTTAAGAGCTTAGTATGTGTTTGTGAATGTCTAAGAGCTTCAGTTCTGTGTTGTTACAAAAGTTAATGTACCTGTTTAACATAATTCATACCAACAAACATTTATAAAGGATTAAAGTTATAATTTTTCAACAGTGAAAATTAACCCACAATGAAATAAGCTGTGTAATTTTAAAGTGGGTTTGTTTAGAAGTGAAAGGGGTCTTAGGAATCATCTCATTGAATCTTCTTATTTATATATAAGAAAACAAAAGCACAGAGAGTTAAATGATTTGGCCAAGGTCATACAACTAGTACTGGGAACTGAAATTGATTCCAGCCTTTTCTGACTCTAAACAGATTGTTCTTTCCCCTACACTAGGGCTGTGACCCACATGACATTTAACACACCTATTACAAAAAAATTTGAATTCTAAAGTTATAAGTTTCCAACCCTATGATTTTGATTTTTAAAATGTGAAAAGAAGTATTATATATTTTACGTACACGTGGAGCGAGGCAGTTTTTTGACAAATGGCCACGTTTGTCACAATTTCTACAGATAACATTTTTGTTGTCTGTATAGTATCGCTGGGCCAATCTTCTAGGTGATCTGTTATTAGCTATCTGGGCCTAAGGGGGAAAAAAATCAAGAATTAAAAAAAACATTTCACTCTGTTTAATAAAAATCATCTATTCTTCTTTTTAAAGACAACTATCAGTGAATAAAGAAACATCAAACTTCAAAAGTCAGTTCCATTACCTTGATGAGGCAAGAGAATTAACAGTCCTTTCAGTTCAACATAGAATCTAGTAACAGGGAATTTCATGATGTCTCCTGTTCTCTTAAAAAGAGGTAGAAAAACATAAAAGGAGGTGCCATAAAGATAACTTTACTCCTGATTGTCTGTCCCTCCTGCCCATTTCTTCACACTTCTCCAAATGATTCCTTTTCTTTTGTATCTTTCTCTACTTATGGTTCATGGCTAGCAAGGGTATTCATATGGATCATTTAGACACTCCCAAAAACATTCAGAGTCAAAGTCACTGTGACTTCTATCAGTAAATGTATACCACATTTTTCTGAATGAGAGGCCTGCATAAATTTTTATTTAGGGCATGGTGTTTTTATAATTTTATCTTTAGCAAAGTATATCATAAAGAATATCTAAAGAGGAATATGTAAATCCCAACCATGCTTTTATCTTGTTTGGCAGAATTCCATCTTAGAAAAAGTTTTCATCTTTTTTGTTATTCTGCTGAACTGGCTCAGTAGGATACAAGTAGATACAATCCAGTTATCTCTTAAAACTTTTAATTATTCTCTCCGGTTTTTAGCATCTGCCACAATTAAGGATAATAAATAACAAAGATAAACACCTGCGCATCCTGAAAACAGACTAGACTAACCATTTCCTTACACCAAAGCAGCAGTTACTTCTGGTGTTGATCTGTAGTGGTACCAGGCCACAAGGGCTGAGGGGACTTATTATGGCAGAGAAGAAATAAAAAAGGAAAGGAGACTAATGATAATGGCTATTAAGTGACTGACAAAAACCAAGGTGGAACCAAATTTCTGAAGAGTTAAATCACTCATGTACTAATGTCAAACATTTTATTAAAAGCCACTTAAGATCACTGCTATTTGAAAAAAGTTGAATAGTGTTCCAAAAGTTATCTTAATAAGACAGACTCAAAGGAAATTATTAACCTATTATTCAGAATTTCAAAAACAATTTGATCTTACCTCAATATCTTTTTCACTGATGAACCAGTTTATATCATCTTCTCCTACAAAACAAATAAAACATCACTCAACCTTGGCCTCTTTGAAGCACTTATAAATTGACAATAAATTATTCAACCCCAAAGGCATAGTAAGAAATGCTGAATACCTGAAATTCTTATCTTCACTCTGTTATTAGCTGTGTGGCTCTGAACAAATAATCTCTCAGAGGCTCAGTTTCCTTAACTGTGAAAGGGAATAACTATATTTTCCCTGTCTACCTAAAAAGTCCCGTGAGACTCAGATATGTGAAAATAGTTTGAAAATCATCAGGCTACATACCAATATAAAAAAATCAGTGAAGGCACCAAAAATTCAATAGCAGATGAAATCTTATCTAAACTTCCCTTATCTGACTAAAGCAGAGCTTTACTGAGGCAGCTGTCACAACCCTCTGAATCCTCCAGGAGTTCTCCAGTAAGGGAAACAACAGATCTTGGGAACACCGACATTCCAAAAAAATTGTGTAAATGAGCCACATTAGAATCTTCTGTCCTTTGACTCCCTGAACTGCCTTACTTTTGTTTAGTTGGTGTGCAACCCTTACTTCTACAGTCTTCTAAACTCTTCAGAGAGTTACTGATTACTGAATATTACCACAAGTGTAAATAAACCTTATTTCTTCCCTGGTTAATCTGTCCACTGTCCATTAATTTACAGGCCCTGGATCTAAACACAAGTTACTAGAGAAAAAGTTTTTATTCCCAACATCATTATTAACTATGTCCACTATCTTTCCATTCTAGGTGACTTTCATTATAGCATTTTAAAAAACTGGACCTTGAATACTATCTCACAATTACGGTTAGGAACTTAGCACTGTATTGTATAACATCAAAAACAGTGAAATAAGGAGGAGGCCAGATATCTAAAAACAATTGGTTAATCTAAAAATACAACTATAAAAACCTAGAGAGGGAAGTAAACCTATTCATTTTCCTCCATCAGCCATTTTCTTCTCTTTGTACTGTCTTTTTTTTTTTTTTTTTTTTTATTTATTTATTTTTTAAATTTGTAGAGACGGGGTCTCGCTCTTGCTCAGGCTGGTTTTGAACTCCTGACCTTGAGCAATCCGCCCGGCTCGGCCTCCCAAGAGCTAGGATTACAGGCGTGAGCCACAGCGCCCGGCCTGTACTGTCTTTTTTTTTTTTTTTTTTTTTTTTTTTTTTTTTTTGAGACAGAGTCTCGCTTTGTTGTCCAGGCTAGAGTGAGTGCCATGGCGTCAGCCTAGCTCACAGCAACCTCAAACTCCTGGGCTCCAGCGATCCTTCTGCCTCAGCCTCCCGAGTAGCTGGGACTACAGGCATGCGCCACCATGCCCGGCTAATTTTTTTTATATATATATCAGTTGGCCAATTAATTTCTTTCTATTTTATAGTAGAGACGGGGTCTCGCTCTTGCTCAGGCTGGTTTTGAACTCCTGACCTTGAGCAATCCGCCCGCCTCGGCCTCCCAAGAGCTAGGATTACAGGCGTGAGCCACCGCGCCCGGCCCTGTACTGTCTTTTTACAAACCTGGAAATTGCTGCTATTCTTTTGGCCCACCCATGGCCAAGGAGGAAGGGACCTATGACTAATGCAGAAGCTAAGGTCAACAAAGGAACAAAATATTTTTTGTTCCCTTCAAAGCAAAGTTAAGATTTCCTCCATCCTCCTATCTTACTACTTTGCTCTATCTCTGAAACACAAATTGAGCTTGACTTGTTCCTTCAAAAGGAGTTTTGAAGAGACATGAAGTAATCTACATTTTCCCAGGCCTACCAGGAGTAAGTGTCTAGAGATATATTTTGAAATAAAATACTTTTACTAAGAAAACCATGAGGCTGCTTTACAAAAAGACCAATCCATAGGAAAGCAGAGATGCTGTGCTGATGATTATTTACTTTGTAAAATTTGGAGGCTGCATCCATATACTGAGAGTGGAGTGAATATATTAAAAAGCAGCAGCTTCTATTCCTTCATCAAGCATCCACACTATCATGCTTTCATTCGATGGGTCCATGTAAGAAGAATGGTTTGCTATAACTTTCAAAGCTGTCTTTTGTATCTCAATGTTTTTCATCATTAAAATTCAAAATGACCACCTGAAATCACTTTAATTATAAAACTGACTTAACATTGTTATTAAAAAAATGCAAAACCAATAAAATGCAAAATACCATCTGTGATCAGTCCTCAATCCCCAATAAATATACACATGAACATAAAATAGTGAAAAAGGAAGGTTAGAAAGAGGGAGGTTGACTCCATTCAGACTGTTTCAACATTCCTGTTGAATTCAACAATATTCTAGGTTATATATAGTTATCTCTCAGTAAATGTGAGGTTCCAGGACCACCCACATATAATGAAATCCTCATACTCTCAAAGTGTATCCTGTGGAATCCACATATAAAAAAAGTTGTCCCTCTATGCACATGGGTTTCACATGTCAAGAATACTGTTTTTCAATACTTCTTTTGTTGAGAAAAAGCCACGTGTATGTAAGTGGACCCACACAGTTCAAACCCATCTTATTCAAGAGTCAACTGTACTAAGAACTCCTCAAAAAGTTACAGCATATTCTTACTGTAGAAAATTCAACAACATTATACAAAATAGGTTTTAATTATAGATGAAATCAGTACTTCTCAAGCAGTACATGAAGCAAATACATCACCAGGAAAACACAAGCTAGCTCTTGGCCCTAGTCCCAGGCTCCAGTTTTGGCTTGACCCTGGTAATGACTATTGACTCTTGCTCTTTTACCTATCCAGTTTGCTTCCGAACTCACGTTTAAACACCAAGTTCTACCCTAATGAAAGCCAACTCATTAGAACTTCCACAGGCAGCAAATTCTCTACTTTGTTAAATTCTGGGTATGGTACTTGAAACCTGGCTTCCAGTCTTAACTTTACCTTTAATTTGCTACATGGTGTTGGGCAGGCTACTTAACCTCTCTGGGTCTGTACAATAATGGGTTGGATTAAATGTCATCGTGGCATCTTCTAGCACCAAATTTCTGTGATTTTTTCTTTCATTACTAGAATCAAATACTTAGTCTAATTTACCTAAATCCTATACACCTTTGCTTTTTTCACTATTTTATGTGCAAGTTAGCACAAGCTAACTTGCCTTAAAGACAACTTTCCACAGGGCCCAGGAGCACATCTGTCATGTGTCCACCACCCAGTGCTGCAGAATGTAAAATGAGCCTGACCCAAAGTATGAAATTAAGACTGTGTTAACAATGCCTATCATCAACTCATAGCTGCTTTATAGGCTTGGTTTTGCTAATGTCTGGATTATAATTCTTTTCAGACTTCAGAACTGTGATGAAAGCAGTGGCTGAGAATTCTTTCTTTACAGTAAATCAACTCTGTTTAACAAACATTTTATTGGAAGATTACAATGGGCAAGGTGATAGAGATTAAACAAAGATGAATAACAGCTTATCGCCTAGTAGAAGACAAGGAGACAAAGAAGAAGAAAGGAGAATACCTAATAAACACTATGGTAAATTTAGAAGAATACATGATATCTGAATTTAAGGGAGAGCAGGAAAAAAAAAATCACAGAAGGTTTGGCCATAAAGGAAACTACTGAGGTATATAATTTACATATAATAAAATGGATTCATAGAAAGAATACAGTATTATGAATTGACAAATGTACACACCTGTGTAATCACTATAAAAATCAAAAGAATATTTCCATCATCCCAAAATATTACTTTGTATATATCTGCAATCAATCCCCCTAGCCAGGTAGCCACTGATTTGCTTTATTTCATGATAGATACACCTTGCGTGTTCTAAGGTCTCACATATCATAAAATATGTACCATTTTGTGTCTGACTGCTTTCACTCAGTATTTTTGAGATTCATCTGTGTTGCTGCATTGTAGCTGTTTGTTGCTTTTTTTTTTACTGAGCAGTATTCCATTATATGGATATAATATAATCTGTTTAGCTATTCATCTGCTGATGAACATTTAGGTTGTTTCCAGTTTCTGGCAATTATAAATAAAGTAGCACAATAAATGGTATAGTAAAAATTTCACTTTCCTTGGGAAAATACAAAGGAATGGAATTGTTGGATACAGTAAACATACCTGTCCTATTATAAAAAGCTGGCAAACTATTTTTAAAAGTGGTAGTGACATTTTATATTCCCAAAAACAATGTATGAGAGTTCCAACAGCTTCATAGTCTCACCAATACCTGAAATTGCCAGTCTTTTAAATTTAGCCCTAGAATGAGTGTGAAGTAGTATTGCATTTGTGTTTTAATGAAATTTGATAACTAGTAATGTTGCAAATCTTTTCATGTATTTATATGACATCCACATATCTTCTTTCAAAAACTGTTCAGATTTGTTGCCTAATTTTAATTGTTTCGAGAAACGGGTTTATGTTGCCTAGCCTGAAGTGCAAGAGTATGTGATCATATAGCTCACTGCAGTCTTGAACTCTTGGGCTCAAGCAATCCTCCTGAAATAACCGCATCACAAAGTCGGGGTCTCACCATGTTGCTCTGGCTAGTCTCCAACTAGCTAGTCTCCTGTCCCTCAAGCCATCCTCCCTCCCAACCCTATTCCCACCTATGCCCCCCAGCCTCTTATGTAACTGGATTTACAGCCGCAAGCCACCATGTCCAGCAATGTTGCCTATTTTAAAAATTGGTTCTTTTCTTTTTTACTGGATTGTCTTTTTACTAAAGTCTAGGGATTCTTTATAAATTCTGGCTACAAGTCTTTTATTAGACATGCAAATATTTTCTCCCAGTTGTGACTTGCCTCTTCATTTATTTTTAACTTTTTAATAGAATAGCAAAAGTTATAATAAAATCAAATTTGACAAATTTACCTTTGAAGTTTGTTTTCTGTGCCCAAAGAAACCTGCCTGTTCTGTATTCCTGCTTATATTCTGGAAGGAAAGGGAAAGGGAAAGGGAAAGGGAAAGGGAAAGGGAAAGGGAAAGAAAAGAAAAGAAAAGAAAAAGAAAAAAGGAAAAGAAAGGAAAAGAA